TTTTTTAAGATTAGAAATGGATTTGATTTCGTTACTTGTGAGGTTACTTTTCAGTTTACGGGATTGGTTGACTATATTGACAGTCTTGTTTGAGAATTCTTTGAAAAAGTTATTTAAAATACAGTTTTTGGGAACTTGGGGAAACCACATTTTGTTGTAGTTATCTGTGATAAAAGTCTGTTGGTTGATGTCATGGATTTCTTCTTTCTGTAGTTGGAGGATGTTTGAGGTAGAGGTGGTCTTTTGTTCTTTTATGTAGCGGGTCACGAGTCTTCTGGCTAGATATTCTAGACACGCCTTGAACTCTAGGCATGGAGTTGTTTTGTGGTTGATGGCAAAGTTGAGGCCTTTGTTTAAAAGTTGAAGTTCTGTGTCGTTGAGTGTCCGGTCAGATCTATTGATTACAAGGTTAGGCTGAGCTGCATTGTTGTGTTTCACTTCACGTTGATCTAGTTTCTTATTGTGTGTAGACTTCTTTTCTTGATTCATCAATGAGTTGTTTTGGTTGATAGCGCGTTGCATATTGCCGTAATCATCTGGTTTGAGGAAGCAGGCTAGTTGGTGGTCTAATTTCTGTTTGAGTTTTTGTAAATAGTCCAGTTCTTGATATTTGGAATTCAGGGTTGCTTTTAGGAGTTTTTTCTGCATGTTTTGGATAATACCTGAAAACTGGTTTAAGTTTTTCGATAACTTGACCTTCACAAATTTAGGAATTAGCTTTTCAGAGCGGCACTGTCTTAGGAAGGAAATATCGTTTCTCTTTTTGATGATTTTTATATTCAGGTTACGTAGTTTGAAGGACTACCATAAACCAATCATACCGTGAAACTATTATGTTCTCTCACCAATCCGGAGGCAAAAGTATAAAACAAACCCTGAGACAAAAAGGCTTAAATTTCTTCAATATTATTACTCTCAACCTCATATAAATATTATAAAAGTAATTCAAGCTCAATAGTAATTCACGTACGAGTAGGATATCATAGTAACTCGTCTCCAGTAAAGCCTCTTGCATTAGATAGGTTTCATAGTAATCCATCTCTGGTAAAACATCTTTCATTGGATAACTATTATACTAAACCATCATCTGTCAAGTGATATGCTAAGATAGGTATGATACTAAATCTGAACATGTACGTGCTAGGATGAAGTAAGTCTATCATGAAGACCCGACTGTAAGGATTCCAAGCCATATGCTTATCCTGCCAACTCTGATCCTGATCGTTTAAGAGCTATAACCTATTATTAAAAAAAAACAAATCCAGGTTGAAGAATCAAAATATTACAAGCTTATTACAAACACCATGAGACTAGTAAAGACAACAAAGAGAGACATGTATAAAACCAAGTGAAAAATTGCTAGACAAGCATCGAATCACGAGATTAGCTGTAAATTCAATTTGTTATAAATATAATAGGTTGTGCAATACCTTACCTTCAATCATAACAGGGTATGTAGCTAAGTTAGTTAGAAAGATGACCAAGAAAACCTTTGGAGTTAACAATCCTGCAGCAAAGCATTTGATAAATTATTCTTTGCAATATCGAGCTTATCAATGTGAATTCATTAAGAATTTTCAATATTTAAGAAGTGTGGTTGTTGGCGTCATTGTGCAAGGCCTCTAAAGCAACTTCTTACAGTGAGATAGTAGAGGGAGCTTACACACTTGTAATATGGAGTCTTTTTTCCGCAAACTTTTTACTTCAGTGCTGCTTTTGACAAAGATGACAATGTTCTATACAGTAAGTTTCCATCATACAACAAAAGTGCTTGTGGAAATAGGGCTGCTACTTGGATGTGTTCTGAATTGTGCAAGTTTCCATGCTGGAGTAACTGAGGATATATGCACCATATTAATTAACATTGGTAAGTGTACTTCGCTGGAATCCAGGTGATATGTTCAGCATATGGAAGATTGCATACAGTCCCATATGTATGATCTACATTTACAAGGACACAAGTGACAATGGAACTTCATTCAAATGGTTGTGGCTCTAAATTGCTATTTTTACATCGCCTTGCACCTCATTATCCTAACACCAGAGAGATAATCAATACGTTATATGGTGTACAGATGGGCTGATCACAAAATTTTTGGTATTGACTGTGCACAATATAGTGGTGACGTATGTGCATTGCAGGAAATTGCAAAACAACAGTTTGTTTGTAATGAAGGATAAAGCTACACAATGGGCTATCTGTGCTCAGCCCACCACGGGTATCGAAATCCGAATTCTAGCGTTATAAATCCGCAGACATACCCACTGTGCCACTGGGGGCGCTAAAGAACAGAAGATAAGTAAAAAATATTATGTTGTACCATGTGAACCTTCAAAATATTTTTTACATTGTATCACAAGAAGTGTTTAGAGTATGCTGAGTATTCTTGCATGTCATGTAACAAATGATGTTATAAACGTGAATGTGTAAAACTGGATCGCTGCACCCGACCGATTACTAGTGATGCTTGGGGACAACTTCTGGAGTACATAGTACAACATTCTACTCCTGATGATGGGTTTTGGGAACAGCTGCTGGAGTACATAGTAAAACATCCTGCTCCTGATGATGGGTTTTGGGAACAGCTGCTGGAGTACATGGTACAACATCCTGCTCCTGATGATGGGTTTTGGGAACAGCTGCTGGAGTACATGGTACAACATCCTGCTCCTGATGATGGGTTTTGGGAACAGCTGCTGGAGTACATAGTACAACATCCTGCTCCTGATGATGGGTTTTGGGAACAACTGCTGGAGCACATAGTACAAATCCTGCTCCTGATGATGGGTTTTGGAAACAGCTTCTGGAGTACATAGTACAACATTCTGCTCCTGACGATGGGTTACCTATGGGATAAATCTGTATGTACTGTATAGAGAAACTCCATGAACGAACATTTTCACCACGCTGCATATTAAACAGTTTAACATTTGACTTGTTTCTTTCAGTAATATGAAAAAAATATTGATTCAGCAAGCAAATATCTTCCAGGTTGTAATCAAAAATGAGAAAGGCG